CCCACAGTACTAAACTCACTACTCTCCACAGTACTATACCACCACTCTCCACAGTACTAACGCTCCACTCTCCCACAGATAACTAACCCACTAACCTCTCCCACAGTAAAACCCACCACTCTACCCACAGTACGTAACCCATACTCTCTCACAGTACTAACCCACTACTCTCCACAGTACTAACCCACTACTCTCCCACAGTACTAACCCACCACTCTCCCACAGTACTAACCCACTACTGTCCCACAGTACTAACCCACCACTCTCCCACAGTACTAACCCACTACTCTCCACAGTACTAACCCCACTCTACCACAGTACTAACCCACTACTCTCCCACAGTACTAACCCACTACTCTCCCACAGTACTAACCCACTACTCTCCACAGATACTAACGCCACTACTCTCCCACAGTACTAACCCACACTCTCCCACAGTAATAACCCACCACTCTCCCACAGTACTAACCCACTACTCTCCCACAGTATAACTCACTACTCTCCCACAGTACTAACCACTACTCTCCCACAGTACTAACCCACACTTTCCCACAGTACTAACCACCACTCTCCCACAGTACTAACCCACCACTCTCCCACAGTACTAACCCACTACTCTCTCAGTACTAACCCCAACTACTCCCTCCTCTCCACAGTACTAAACCACCACTCTCCCACAGTACTAAACCCACCACTACTCCCACAATACTAACCCACCACTCTCCCACAGTACTAACCCACCACTCTCCCACAGTACTAACCCCACTCTCCCACAGTACTAACCCACACTCTCCCACAGTACTAACCCCACCCATACACCACTCTCCCACAGTACTAACCACCACTCTCCCACAGTACTAACCCACCACTCTCCCACAGTACTAACCCACCACTCTCCCACAGTACTAACCCACTACTCTTTCACAGTACTAACCCACCACTCTCCCACAGTACTAACCCACTCTCACCACGTACTAACCACTCTCCCACGTACTAACCCACCACTCTCCCACAGTACTAACAACCCCACAACTACCACCATCTCCCACAGTACTAACCCACACCCCCTACTACCCACTCCCACAGTACTAACCCACCACTCTCCCACAGTACTAACCCACCACTCTCCCACAGTACTAACCCACTCCTCTCCCACAGTACTAACCCACCACTCTCTCCACAGTACTAACCCACCACTCTCCCACAGTACTAAACCACCACTCTCCACAGTACTAACCCACCACTCTCCCCAGATACTAACCCACCACTCTCCCACAGTACTAAAACCCACCCACTACTCCCCACAGTACTAACCCACCACTCTCCCACAGTACTAACCCCCTCTCCCACAGCACTAACCCACTACTCTCCCACAGTACTAACCCACACTCTCCCACAGTATAACCCACACTCTCCCACAGTACTAACCCACCACTCTCCCCGTACTAACCCTCCACTTCCCACAGTACTAACCCACCACTCTCCCACAGTACTAACCCACTACTCTCCCACAGTACTAACCCACCACTCTCCCACAGTACTAACCCACCACTCTCCCACAGTACTAACCCACCACTCTCCCACAGTACTAACCCACTACTCTCCCACAGTACTTAACCCACCACTCTCCCGACAGTACTAACCCCCACTCTCCCACAGTACTAACCCACCACTCTCCCACAGTACTAACCCACTACTCTCCCACAGTACTAACCCACCTCCCACAGACTAACCTCTCTCCACAGTACTAACCCACCACTCTCCCACAGTTACTAACCCAACCACTCTCCCACAGTACTAACCCACACTCTCCCACAGTACTAACCCACCACTCTCCCACAGTACTAACCCACCTACTCTCCCACAGTACTAACCCACTACTCTCCCACAGTACTAACCCACACTCTCCACAGTACTAACCCACATCTCTCCCACAGTACTAACCCACCACTCCCCCAGTACTAACCCACCACTCTCCCACAGTACTAACCCACACTCTCCCACAGTATACCCATACTATCCACATACTAACTACTCTCCCACAGTACTAACCCACCACTCTCCCACAGTACTAACCCACTACTCTCCCACAGTACTAACCCACACCTCCCACAGTACTAACCCACCACTCCCACAGTACTATACCCACACTCTCCCACAGTACTAACCTACACTCTCCCACAGTACTAACCCACCACTCTCCCACAGTACTAACCCACCACTCTCCCACAGTACTAACCCACACTCTCACAGTCTAACCCACACGCTCTCCACAGTATACCCTACCACTCTCCCCTAGTACTAACCCACCACTCTCCCACAGTACTAACCCACCACTCTCCCACAGTACTAACCCACCACTCTCCACAGTACTAACACCCACTTACTACCTCCCCATGTACTAACCCACCACTCTCCCACAGTACTAACCCACCACTCTCCCACGAGTACTAACCCACCACTCTCCCACAGTACTAACCCACCACTCTCCCACAGTACT